AAAGAAAGAAAGAAAGAAAGAAAGAAAGAAAGAAAGAAAGAAAGAAAAAAGGAAGAAAGGGAACAGTTATAAAGACAAAACTACCAAATCTCTGTTAAACTTTATTTTTTATTTCAGGAACTTAATGTTATAATTGAGGGAAAACTGAAATAAACCTGTTAGTGCATTTGCTTTTAGTTGACTTTAGAAGTAATTTTAAAGGTTACACTTGGTCAATATATTATTAGTTTTTCTACAGATGATACCTTGAATATGTGGGTTATCCAGATGAATAGCTACTGAGCTTCCTTTTTAGGGATATGAGGTCTACTTTTGCCGAAAGGACTAACACTTGGGTCTGCAGAGTTCATGAGCTTTCACATTTTTTTCTGTCATCTTTACTACTTTAACCTTTGGGTCAGATTTCTGTTACTCATTTAAGGAAAGCCTGTGCCAGACTGGTATTATAAGGTTGAATTGCCTTAAACTTACCAAGTAGCTCCCCAGCCCTTTCAAGGCTGAACACACTGAGATAAGAATGACTAAAAATCTAAAAGATAAAAGGGGCATCTGGACTAGATGTTGTGATTACAAGCAGAACAGCCACCAAGTTTCACATTCCATTCCAGAATACTAAAGGAGCGCCCTGAAATCTTTATCTATCAATCTTTTTCTAAACTAATCCACCTGACTTTTTTCTTTTGCTTAAGGACAAAAAGAGCCTAAAATCATACAGTGAGCTACTATGGATTTTCTTCCCAGGCACTAGCAATAAAATCATTTTTCTTTCCTCAGCGACTTGTCCCCTAGTCACTGGGCCCCTTTCCAGTAATGAGTAAATGTGCTTGGGTTCGTTATAGGTCATGGGGGAGACAGTTAATTTTTGGAAACATTAAAAATGAGCTGCATATATTCACTGCTCATTTTGATAACTAGATATTTTTTCAAGATTTATTTTTATTATTCTTAATTTATGTGTATGTGTCTGTATGAGTGCAAGTGCCTAAGAGCTGGAGTTACAGGGAGCCATGAACCACCTAGCATGGCTGCTAGGAACTGAACTTAGGTCCTTCCTTGTAAGAGCAATAAGCTCACTTGACTGCTGAGCCACTTCTCCTGCTTCTGGTAACTAGTTATTTTCTTCCTTCCTTCCTTCCTTCCTTCCTTCCTTCCTTCCTTCCTTCCTTCCTTCCTTCCTTCCTTCCTTCCTTCCTTCCTCTTTCTTTTCTCTCTTTCTGTTTTGGTTTCTCGAGACAGGATTTCTCTATGTAGACCAGGCTGGCCTTGAACTCACAGATCCACCTGCTACCTGCTTCTGCTGGAATTAAAGGCATGCACCCCCACCGCCCAACAATAACTACTTATTCTTAATGACTGAATACCCCATAATCTAAATTTCCATGTAACCAATCATTTGAAGTATAATGCCTTTCTTGAATGTTATGATTTTTTAGCTTAAATTTTCAAACAATTTTATAAATATTTCAGATTCATGTCTATTTGTTTTATGACTCAGCAAGA